CCAGGACTAAACTAGAACTAAACTAGGACTAAAACCAGGACTAATTATTAATTTATTATTAATTATTATTTTTATTTAATTTTTTTTCGATAATTCCACTCATTGCCGGTAAATAAACCAAATCTAAACTAGATCTTAACCAAGTCTAAACCAGGACTAAACTAGATATTAACCAGGTCTAAACCAGGACTAAACCAGGACTAAAACCAGGTCTAAACTAGATCTAAACCAGGTCTAAAACCAGGTCTAAATCAGGTCTAAAACCAGGTCTAAACCAGGTCTAAACCACGACTAAACCAGGACTTAAACCAGGTCTAAACTAGATCTGAACCAGGTCTAAACCAGAACTAAACCAGGACTAAAACAGAACTAAAACAGGATTTAACAGGACTAAACCATGCTGCGCGGACATGTCTCCTCGTCTTCTGTCAATAATATTTTTAATTTGGTTAAGTAAAGTCTGGGCTTTTCATTTTCTTTTAGCAAACAAAACATCTTATGTGAAGATTTCCTCGTCTTTGCTTCTGTATAGCAAAAGTATTCAGATTACATTACTCACTTAAAATAATTGAATGGATTACTTTACAAACTACATTTTGGGGTATGTAATCTGTAATCTGTAGGGGAATACATTTTAAAAGTCACCTTCCCAACACTGTACACAGAGTAATATTTTAGGCTTTCTCAAACACGTGAATGAAACAAAACACAACTCCAGGCCAGATTTTGAGGAGGTAACAACTTTATACAAGGTTCCCACTGTCATGGAAATCGTGGAAAAGTCATGGAAATTAAAAATGTTATTTTCCTGGCCTGGAAAAGTCATAGAATTTCAGTATTTTTCACACAACTTCAGCGTTCTGTTAAGTTATCATTAGGCTGTTATGATGCGACTTTTGTGTAACAGCATTATAACATGACTTAAAGCTCACAGAGTCAATTTAGTAAAATATAGAACCTTTAAAAGAACAGAGACATACATTTTTGGCTATTTCATTTTGGTATTTAGAGGTAATATATTAGACAAATGCATAGATTTTCTTTTACTATATACGCGTAGGTCAAACATTTAGTCCAAACCCGCTGTCTCTGTTTTTGTTTAAATAATGTACAGTTCCTCCTCGTCTTTCTTTACCGTCTGTTCCTAAAGCGCTCAGACCAGGGCACATGTTTAATGCAGAGCCCTGATGTAAATAAGTAAAAGTGACTGTTACTGTTCTCGCTGCGAGTCGGAGGTAGGTCAGTGGGACACCGTACCCCAGCATGCTTTGGGGGGGGGGAACTGGGTCAGCCGCGCCCAAAGGAACCGCCTCCCTCCCCCCACCTTCCCTCCTCTCTCGCCATCCATTTCTATCTTTAATCCACATCACGACTGTACTTCCGGTCGCCCCTGAGCAGGTGGTGTTTTCGTCGACCGGTATCCCAAACAACCCCATCGCCATAGCAACGGAAATCTGAATGTATGTTATTTCGGTCCGAGTAAACACGGAGCCATGGATGTGACATGTGACGTTGTAATGAAGGCTCTGCAGGAGGTGTGTGCAGTGAACATGTTTTCTGTTTGCAGAGCTGTCAGTTTTTCTCTTTTCTCTAGAGTCCAGGGCCTATTAAAAGACACACAACCCCTGTATATTTAACTCCATACACCTTCATTAGAGTCAGTTGGATAATTTCAGCCCTGGAATAGCTTATCTCGACTGAACTAAAGGTAAAAAGTAGTAAGGTTGTAAACAATAACCAAAATATCGCCACAATATATCGAATTACAAGTCAAGTTTACTTAAATTCATTGTTATGGTGCAGCAATAGCTAAAAAAAAAAAAAAACAGAAGGAACGACATAGACCATGATCCATTGCTGTTGTCACTGGAGACTTAACATTAACACTTTTAAATCTTAATTCTTCACATTACAACTGTACCATTATTAACAGTGCCGAGGAGAAAATTCAGTTTGTCGACGGGACAAAAGTTAGTTTAGTTGAAGACGTTTCGCAGCTCATCCAAGCTGCTTCTTCAGTTCTGGTCAGACGCTGGTGGACACTGACCAGAACTGAAACGTCTTCAACCAAACTAACTTTTGTCCAGTCAACAAACTGAATTTTCTCCTCGACATGGATTCTACCTGGACGACTGAGGGATTCTTCACATTATTAACAGTATCAATGTTTTTTTTAAAGAAGTAAGTAGCGCATTCACAGTTTTGTTAGTCTCCACAAATATCTCAATGAATATCGTACGCTGAAATGGCCAGGCTGGTGCCACCTAGTGCCTCCGCTCAATTTGATTTCTCTCCAACGACTAGGTCAGGAATCGGAATACACTAGACGGTTCACAAATACCCCAGAAGTGCGAGTTCGGGCACCAGCCAATCAGTGACGAGCCATACATTCTGTGTTGGCAACGATTCCCGAGATCGAGGATTTAAAGTCGGAACAAAGAGAATGTTTGGTGAATTTTATCAAGGGGAAAGACATTATTGCCCTTCTTCTTACGGGATTTGGGAAAAGCTTAATATACCAGTTAGCCCCATTAGCATCGCATTACATACGTCATGACCAAATAGCAGTGATTGGTTAAATTTTAAAAAGTACCTGCCCACTGTCGAGCGAACCAGTTCTACGAAGTGAAAGCGACTGATGAATCAGGCTAACGGTGAGATGCATATTGTTAAAATATCGTATCGTGAGATTTGGATATCGTTACATCCCTAAAAAGTAGCTGTAAACTTGAAAACTACCACAACATGACATCACAAGGTGGAACAGAGCATTTTGTGTCTTGAAGATAATGAAATGAAACAAAACACAACTCCAGGTTTGTTTTTGAGGAGGTAACAACATTATTCAGCGTTCCCACGGACATGGAAATCCTAGAAAAGTCATGAAATTTTAGGATCTCTTTCACGCAACTACAACGTTCTTTTCAAGTTCAAGTTATCATTAGGCTGTTATGATTATTTCTGAATGTAAATCAAAATTCAGATCAAATCAAAATGATTTGTATAGCACATTTAAAACAGCCAAAGCTTACCAAAGTGCTGAACAGTGAAATAAAACATACAATAGACAAATAAGTAATAACAGCAAGGTGCTAAGGTGGAACGTGTGCGACTTTTGTTTAAAAAAGACGTCAATAAATGCACTGACAGTATTTTGACTGTTAAAAAACTAAAATCCCAAACCATAAGCTGAGTGGAAAGGGTTAATATTTCATATTTAGCCCTAAAAGTCTGATCAGTTCTACACATGTAGGTGCCGTAAAATCATGGAAAATTCACTTTAGGTCATAAAAAGTCATGGAAAAGTTTGGAATTTTTGTCAGTGAAAAAGAGTGGGAATCTTGATTATAACACGGCTTAAAGTTCACAGGAGTCAGTTTTGCTTAATATAGGACTTTTTAATCACTTGATCTGACTCACAGTGACTCAGATTGTTCATCTACAAACTCCAAGGTTGAACCCGCTCAGTGCGTGCTGTTGTGCCGTCGGGCAAGACAGTCATTACATATGAGCATAGTCTGTGAATGAGTGATTGGTTGGAGATGGAGGAATAGGCCTGTCACAATATATCAACTTATCCTTCAGTGCATGATGGATAGTACGGTCAGTTTTGGAGGTCAGTATTTATAGTAGTTTGCTTTTTTCTCTGCACTAGTGGGGATCTGTGTGTTATTTTTCTCTTCTATGACAGGATTTGAGCAGTAGAGGGTTGAATACATAACGTCCATGACTCATTAAGCGCTTCGTTTATTTATTGCAGCTCATGGTCATTACAAAACTGTACATGAAGAATAGAAGAGCTGTTTTGGGAGGGCTCGGGGTTCTGTTTTAGGGATATAATAATGTCGTTTAGTGTCTATATTTACTTCAGCAATATACAGTGCTTTAAAATTTACTGCATGATTTTGGGACTGGTTCATAAAGAAAAACTACAGTGTGATACAAATTTAAGACCTTATGTTTAATATAAATGTGTATTAACAATGTGATTGTAGAGTTACTGCTGTTTAGGCCTGTCATGATATCACTACAGAGATGTACTAGCCTGATTCGTCAGCCGGTTTCACCTCGTTTCACTTTCGTAGAAACGGTCTGACCTCACAGCGTTGGAATTCGTTCGCTCGACTGTAGGCGGGTACTTTTTGTCATTTAACCAATCGCTGCTATTTGGTCGTGACGTATGTAATGCACCACTAACAGGGCTAAGTGGTATATTAAGCTTTTCCCAAATCCTCTCCAAACATTCTCTTTATTCTGGCTTTAAATCCTTGATCTCAGAAATCGTTGACAACACAGAATATATGGCTCTTCACTGGTCGACTGGTGCCCGAACTTGCACTTCAGGGGTTTTTGCAAACTTTCTAGTGTATTTTGATTCCTAGTCGCTGGAGAGAAATGAAATTGAGCGGAGACACTAGGTGGCGCCAGCCTGGCTATAGATATACTGCGATAAATGATAATATTGAAATTACTTAATGCCGCTGATACAAAAACAATAATTCAAGATAATCCTTGTAATTCCTTTCAAATAGACAGTGTCATTAAAAGCCTAAACGGCAACAAATAAATATTAAAATGAAGCAAAAATTAGCCATAGAAGTTGTTTATTCTCCAGTCTACAGCTCAACTCTTATCAGAATACAACAAAAATATCCCAAATCTCCCCATTTTTGCGAAGAAAATGTACACACGATAAATACTGAACCCCAAAATATATTGTTCCACTTACTATGCATTGAAAGAAAAGTCGATATAGTAATTATCCTGACAAAGTGTTATTTGTGAGTATTGGTTTAATTACTTGAGGTTGACCAGGTAATTTTCTCTGTTGGTCTTTGTCTAATCAATAAGTCAATCAGGGTTAACATAACAGCCACTTACGCATGAAGTAAACACCTGATCGCGGAGTATGTGGGCTGTACATTATCTCCTGCTGTTATATCTGTGTTTTGTTTTACCTATTAAAGATGATACTAATTTGTCCCTTTTGTGTCTCTCAGGGGCCCCAAGTCCAAACACTGCAGTGCCTGTAACAAGTGTGTGGCCAACTTCGACCATCACTGCCGCTGGCTCAACAACTGCGTGGGCAGCCGCAACTACAAGTCAGTCTACACTTCATCATAATAATATAAAATTAAATAAATATATAAAAAAAAGTTAGTCTACACTTATTAAAAAAAAAATAATAATAATAATAATTAATAATAAAAAATAATAAATAAAATATAAAAGGTCAATCGACATTTTAACAGTCTATGCTTTAAAAAATAAAAAAATAAATAAGAATATATAAAATAATCTACACTTAAAAAAAAAGTAAAAATAAATACATATATTTTAAAAATCTGTCTACATTTAAAATAATAATAAATATAAAATAATAATAAATAAATAAAAGAAAAAAATACACATCTAAGTAAATATATAAAAATCCAGTCTATTCTTTTGTCACTAAAACAAAAAACAGTGATCTTGTTTAAAGTGCATATCACCAGTTAAACTACTAATTTCACGAAAACATTGTAAACATAATTTTACAAAAAAATCTTTGCCTTGTTTTTTTTTTTTTTTACTAGTTTTTAAACATTGGTGAAGTTTATCATTTTACTTCCCGGTTAGATACGGGCAGCAGATGTGACACTTGTAGCAGTAATTCCCTAACTGTTACTGAGCAACCATAAAGTCAACAAGGGCCAAAACATGTCTAAAAATATTATCGTTATGATTAGACAACTAAAAATAGCACTTTTAGTTTGTTAAATGAATGTTTAAACTGTCATATGTGTGTAAATTGTCCCTACATTTTAGATGAAATTTTCAGACATAGGTAGAGATATTTGTAGAGGTACATTTTAGAATTCAGCGCTTTCCTGTATTTTTGTACTTTTCTTCTCAATTTGCTCTCCACAAACTGATGTAAAACTATGATAAATATTCACCAGAGCTACTATCCCACCAAACCAATTCATAATTTGGAAAAAAATAAAAATAAATAAATAAATAAAAAATATGAATACCTGTTTTATGCACTTTAAATATATGCAAATCTTCTCTCAAATTCTCAAAAAATCTCTCAAATTTTTAGATAATTGTGCCTTATTTGACACCAATCTCTTGCTATTTTTGCTACTTATTATTATCATTTATATTCTTCTCTTGTCATTAATATATATATTGTGATGTTTGAGCTACTGTGTCCAAGTATTTTCCTTTGTGGGTCAATAAAGTTTGTCCAAGTCTAAATGTCAACACTTCCGGCTGTGACAACTGTAAAATAAGAAGTAATAACAAATGAAATTGATGTGTATTTTCTCGTGTCGTAGGTTGTTCCTGCACAGCGTGGTGTCTGCCCTGCTGGGAGTGTGCTTGGTCCTTATTGTCGCCTCGTATGTTTTTATTGAGTTCTTCTTGGACCCGTCTAAACTCCGCACTGACAAACACTTTCAAGGTGATGTCTGTAATACACAAGTAAAGTCACATAACCTGAAAATGTACAAGAAATCAAAGTGGTTAATCATTGCTGTTAAATGCTTCGTGTTCAGACGGATCACGCCTTATCAGGGTCTTAAAGGTGAATTATGTAACTTTCCTGGTGGAGCGTATGCCAGCTGCTTGTCTCCATGGTGATGTTATCGCTTTGCCGGGAATGTTCCACTCTTCAGAGAGACGTAGGGTTGTCAGAAATATCCAAAAACAGAGACTAATTGATTAGGGGTGTGCAAAAATATCGGAATGTCAATATATCGTATCGTTTAATGTGATGATACAGTATCGATATCGTGGGCTACTGTATGGATATATCACCAAGAGTATTTTTACGTGTGTTTTACTAAATTATTTTGTTACAGTGCTACAGTTTTGTTGCTTGTGGAGTGAAAGGAAACTCATTTATGCGACACATTTGACATTTTGACACTGTTATGAGGATTAAAATGTTTGTGTTTCATATGAACTTTGCACAAGAAGTGGTTTAACAAACACTTTTAGTATCACAACCATGATTTAGCCTTTATTTTTTATTGAACTGTATCGAATCGATTTGAATTATATCATATCGAATCGAAAGTGCACTGTATCAGTATATGTATCGTATCGTGGCCTGTGTATCGAGGTATGTATTGTATCGGCAACTTCTTAATGATATCCAGCCCTATAATTGATACTAAAACTAGAACTAATACTAGATTTTAATTTGAGCAGGTATCGATACTACAAAGTCACATTCACAGGACAAAACTGAACCTTTCCTGAAGCTTTAGAATGATCTTGACCTGGATAAGAACAAGTATAACAGCACATAGACTAGTGTAGCTACCCTGGTTTTCTTCGCAAAAAAGGACTTCACGCTCTGTACTGATGATCATGTGTCAATATTTATTCTCAGTAATCTTTGACTCCATCAACACATTGAAACACAATGAAAATAAAATAAGACAACATTGTAATATAAAAGAAAGTGCTAAGATTTAATGTTGAATCTCCTCTCCCTTCCTTTCTCTCTCCGTCTCTTCTCTCTGTGCAGTACATAACGAGTCTGCAGTGTGGTTCCTGTTCTTGCCTGTAGCTCCGGTGGTCTCGGCCGGAGCAGTGATCCCAGGGCTCGCTGCTGTCACCATCGCTCTGGGGCTGCTCTCCTGCGTGCTGCTCTGCCACCTGCTGGGCTTCCACATTTACCTGAGTAAGAACAGTGCACCAACACAACAGAGCGGTGTGCTTTTTGAGGAGGAGGATACATGATTATAACATGGTTTCATTTGCATAATATTATTCACATTATCCCGGAAGTTACCGTGGGCGTCTCCGTCATCATTCGGGTTGTATTATTTTGCGTGGGGCCGATCCTAACAGCAAATAAGTTTAATACGGATGATAAAACCGTTTTAAAACCTTTCAGAGAATTAGTGGAGTGTGACTTGTTGGTTCACATGAGCACTGAACATTTTACACAAAGCAACCGACTTTATGTCATATTTAAGCGGCAAAACTTTTCTCAAATTATCCATTGACATTTTTTTTTTTTATTCTGGGGACCTGTATTTTAAAAGTCACAACCTTTGCGACCCAAATCAATAGACATTATTCGTAAATCACAAAATAAAGGTGGATTTGATCATTATTAAACATTAATGAGGATATTTTATTGTTGACTGAGTGATCGTGTCTCTCTGAACATTTAGTATTACTCAAGTTTTAAACAATGAAAAACACAAATTGAAACATCAAAAAAAATAAAAAAATAAAAATCCATAAGTCGCCTATTTGGACATTAAATGTAGCCCATTTCTTTTTCTTTTACCCATTCGGTAACACTTTATAATAACTACACCTTACTTAGCCTTAATAAAATCATTGTCTCATAGTTTACTAATGATTAATAAATGCTCAAATGGTTATTCCATGAGTAATTAAGTATGAAATAATTATGAGTAACTATTTACAGCACAGGAAAATTAAGTGCAAGTGCTAATTAAGGTAGTAATTAAGTAGTTACTAAGTGTGAATCATTATTAATTAAGTCTTTGTTCATTAGTAATTAAGTCTTTATTCATGCTTTATTAAGGCTAAATAAGGTGTAGTTATTATAAAGTGTTACCATAGTCTGTAGAACTGTATATTGCAGATCTTGACGATGCAACCCCCCAAAAATCACTTGCGAACCACCTGAGGGCTGCAAACCAGTTTTTGGGAAACAATGGAATAGAACATTTAGCATTTGTATTTGTATTTATTTATTAAAGGGACAATGCATAATGTAAGAGACAGACATGTACTTGTAGATATGTAGGATTGTAGCCATAGTTAATCTCCATCCTTAGTCCCCTGCCGCACAATTCATCAAACCTGACAAAAGCCTGCAGTACCCGCTCGCACATGCATCTCATACTCATACAATGTTAGTGTTAAAATGTACAGGTCAGACTCTCATTACTTACACATTAACATCTATTTCCAGGTCTATACACAAATCTGATTGCAGTCCCGGCTCATGTGCAAAAGGTGCTGTTTAAGTTCAGTTGTGTGGACAGATCTAATTGTCCAGTAGACATGATTTAAAAACTACTTCTCATATTTGTAAGCATTAACCAATGAGGAGCGGTGCGTTAAAACATTAAAACTGCAGAACACACAGCTCCACGTTTTTTTATGTGCTTATACAACAGCCACGAACTGAGAATGTGAAAAGCCTGTTCACTGTCTGTAAATGTCTCAAATATCACTTATTTTTGTGTTTAACATGAAGCTAGTCCTCTACAAACTAGAGTCAAAACTATTGAGCATCTGTTTACATGTTGCTCTGGTGATAGCAACAGAGCAGTGATATGGGATGTGATTTAAGACCCCGCCCACATTAGTACGTATTCGAGTCGTTTTCGTTGCGTCTGCAGTGTTCATCCACACTAATCCGATTGAAAATGGCTCCAGAGATGGAACGATCTGGTGCCTCCAGCTCTCACAAATTCATCTGTGCACACATCTGATCCGGCACTGTGTGAAATAGGGATGGGCATGATTAATTGATTAATCGATAATTGATCATTAAGAATTTCATCGATTACGTAAATTTTAATCGACAAACTGAATGTAGGTTGCTGTGCGTAGCGTAGCGTGACCAAACAGGGGTCCGTACATGTAGCTCTTTGCACTCAGGAGGAGCGAGACACAAACAGTGGGTCAGTCTGCAACGTGCGGAAGCACAAATGCGTATTTAACGATGACTTGTACAAGAAATTCCACGCTTTCCATTCGGTGTCCAGTGGGAAAAAAATTTGTCAGGTGAGAGTCGCGCAATGTCGATGAGTCCCCACCTCCCACCCACCGTACGGTGTCCTGGTTTTCACAAACACAAATATGGTCACACTAACCTGTATTCCAGTCATGTCTTTTAATCTGACAGAAATTGACCGCATCAGCGCACAAGAGCTGTTTTTTAATCTTCGCTTAGTTTATGCAAATTAGCGATGCTGTTTTAAATTTCGTTTCTGTGAGAGTTGCGCAAAACTAAATAAAACACATTATAATGTCAAACGGGCTGATGTGGCTCTAGAGCGGTTACGGTTTATATGTCATGAAGTTGAATTTATTTATGCAGATTAGTAGTGCAGATAGTAATAATAATGATGATCATTTTAATATAAAAACGTTAATGATTAATCGATAATCGATCATTAATTCTTCCAACGATCGATTAAGAAAATTTCATCGAATGCCCATCCCTAGTGCGTATACAACAGCCACAAATTGAAATGTCTCACCTGAGAATGTGAAAAGCCTGTTCACTGTCTGTAAATGTCTCAAATATCACTTATTTTTGTGTTTAACATGAAGCTAGTCCCTACAAACTAGAGTCAAAACTATTGAGCATCTGTTTACATGTTGCTCTGGTGATAGCAACAGAGCAGTGATATAAGATGAGGTGATTTAACTGTTGCCAGATTAATTTATGCAAAATAAAGACTCGGCAGAAAAGCACTGGGATTCTCACTGACTGGTGTATAGACAAAGCAAGACAAGTTTATTTGTATGGCACAGTTCATACACAAAGTCATTTAAAGCACTTTACAGAATAAAAAAAAAAAAAAAGATTAAAGTAAAGCAGAGGCCTCTCTCACATCTTCAGGAAGACTGTTTCAGGTTTTAGCTGCATAAACTGAATTGATTACCCATGTTTATTAGTGAGGATTAAACAGCGAGGAGCAGTGCGTTACACGGTTTTAACACAGTGAGCAGATGGTGCAGTAGACTCCAGAGCGAAATACTTCCTCTCCCCACTCCTCAGACACAAACCGTAACATCAGAGAGACACTGAGCATCCTGTGCAACGAGCAGGTCAAAGATCATCACAGGCATTGACAAGGGATGTAACGATATTGCGATATTTTGAAGAGGCTTGTAAACAGGACACTTTTTTGCTTTTAAAATACCTTGACAAGATTTTGGTGTGAGTTATTTCCGTTCATAATCCCAAGAATTCAAGTTAAAAACATATTTCTTCATGTTGTTTGCGCTGAAATGAATCATGGGATATGTAGTTTCCTATGTTGCTTCTATAAAACATTTAAGCAAAGATACTTGTAATTCGATGTATTGTGACAGCCCACGATGTTATTTAGAGACTTTTGACGATACGATATCAAGATATTTTGGTTATAGTTACATCCCAAACATTGACAACACCAACATCAATGAGGATAGTTACAGAAATGAGGTTCAGCTTATACACGTACATATGGCAGCATGAGCCGCCTCAGCTTCTACCTCCTCTGTTTGGACTCAACTCTCAAAAGAGAGTGCTGAAGAACTGCAGCTGCTCAGAGACACCAGGTGCACTCTGGCTCAGCTGCGCTCAGGTTATAGTCGACTCTTGAACTCATACCTCAGTCAGATTGATACTAACATCACTCACATCTGTCGGGGGTGTGGCCATGCATCTTATACAGCACAGCACATCTTCACCCACCCTGTAAAGCGAGCACCACCAGGTCTCCACGGAGGATCTCTTTGGACAAACCCCACAGGAGCTGCAGAATTCCTGGGACTAACTTAGAAGGTGATGATGAAAGACGGCTCGGGTTACAGCAGCAACAACAACAACAACACACTGACACAGAGAACATCACGACACACAGGGGACTGTAACACAATGGAAATGTTTTACTGGGCTATTTTTACCTTCTTTAGGGATGTTGTCAGCTTTTTCAGTAATCGAATAATCGTTGACTCATTCACATCTGGGGCTGAGGACAAGGACCAAAACCTGTGCTGCTCCAGGGACACACTCTGGAAGTCCTTTGTTCCGCACATCATACGCAGTGTTTGGAAGTAACGCGTTGTAAAAGTAACAAATTACTGTAATGGATTGCTTTTTGCTGTAACGCAGTAATGTTACAGCGTTACAGGGAAAAAACTGGAATATTTTACTTGGTACAAATGTCAGTGACATGCATTAAAAAATGTTATTAAATTTACATTTTTTAATTTATTATCTTTAATAATTATTATTATTATTATCTGGATTGAAGGTAATCCTTAGTCCTGGTTTAGTCCGGGTTTTGTCCTGGTTTTGTCCTCGTTAATTTCTGGTTTAGACCTACTTTAGTCCTGATTCAGTTCTGGTTCAGTCCTGGTTCAGTTCTGGTTTAGTCATGATTTCATTGTGTTCTAGTCCTGGTTTAGACCTGGTTTAGACCTGGTTTAGTCCTGGTTAATTTCTGGTTCAGTTCTGGTTTAGTCCTGGTTTAGACCTTGTTCAGTCCTGGTTTAGTTCTGATTTAGTCGTGGTTCAGTCCATATACAGCGCAGAACTTCGGCATCTTTGTTTTTTTGTTGAGAGTAACTTAAATTGCTGCAATAGTCATGTAATGTTTTACATTTTAAACACAGTAATATTGTAATGTTATTATTACTAAATTACCGTAACAAGTCATAAATAAAACATTACATTTTTAAAGTAACTTGCCCGACAGTGCACATACGGCTTCACAACACTTTCTATAAATTTAATTACTGATGTTATTATTATTACGTATTATTGCTGCTTGAAAAATGAATTTCCTAGGGGATAAATAACGTATTATATCTATCTAATCTATCAATCTGTCTATCTAATGGGTTTATACATGTCATGAGCTGAGAGGAGAGGTTTTATGACTCAGACAGAGCAGTAATTACAAACAAATGGCTCAGGGAATATGTAAATTTACTGTTTTTTGATCTTTCATCTATAAATATGTTCCTGGATGTCCCCATGCGGCTTCAGTTCAGCTTTATGTGGGTGTAGTTTCGGAAAATCTCATATTCACGGGCCTTTTGCGATTCAAACAACGAATTAAAAAAAATAAATAAATAAATAAATAAAAAGACAAATGTTAGTTGCAGCGTGTTGTGATTGACTGACAGTGAAGAGATGAGAGAAATTATTTATTAACTGAGCTGTTTATTGTTGTGTGTGTTTTTTTTCAGTGTGGAACAGACTGAGCACGTACGAGTACATCATCCGTCAGCGTCACCGTCTGAACCCACGCGACTCGAGGAAGCCCCCAGCCAAGGAGCCCACCGTCCCCTCGCTCAACATCATCAAGGTACAGCTCGTCTCACGCTCGTCTCTGGAGGAGTCTGGAACCGTCATTATGTTTGTGATTTATGTTATGAAGTGTGCATTTTAAACACATCCAGGAGCGTCAACATTTGAGAGACAGAAATATAAAACTAAAACTAGAATCCCATGCAATTCAGATTTCATGTTTGCAGAGGCCAATTTAGGTACTCCTGGACTGGGCTGGACAATTACTGGAATTTAAAGTACGTATGACAGGTTTTGATGATTTCTCTAATTTTGACGTAATTTGGTGAGATCATACCTGTTGTAAATTATTGTTTTGCACAAATCAAGAAGCAATTTGTGAAGAAAAGTTGATCAAATATGATGAAAGTTACAGAAAGTAGAGAGTTCTGTTTTAGAGAATTCCATATTGTCCAAAGGTTCGGCACAATTTCTACATGAAATATTTTGTTTTCTGATACTTTAAACATGATTTCAACCAAATAATGGTGTTTTCTAATATTTGTATGTATCAAATAATAGTCTCTCTGTACATTGGAGGAGTTTTGGCGTATTGTGCCACATGGTTCAATCCAATCCACTTCTTTTTCTATAGCACATTTTATAAACATAACAGTTTCCAAAGTGCAGCACAGACAAATTAATGCAATAAATCATAATTAAAAACAATAAATAAATGAACAATACATTTAAAAAGCTAAATATGATAAAACAATGAATAAAATAACTTAAAATAATAATGATTAGTCATGATTTCCTAGCCTGATTCATCAGACGGTTTCACTTCGTAGAAACCGTCTGACCTCACAGCATTAGGATTCATTCGCTTGACTGTAGGCGGGTACTTTTTTAATTAAACCAGTCGCTGCTATTTGGTTGTGATGTATGTAATGCGCCAAATCCCGTAGGAAGAAGGACAATAACGTCTTTCCCCTTGATAAAATTCATCAAACATTCTCTTTGTTTCGGCTTTAAATCCTTGATCTCGGGAATCGTTGCCAACACAGAATTTCTGACTCTTTGCTGATTGACTGGTGCACAGTTTACAACTTCCGGGGTTTTTGTGATCCGTCTAGTGTATTCCGATTCCTGACCTAGTCGCTAGAGAGAAATGAAATTGAGTGGAGACACTAGGTGGCGCAAAAAAAAAAACATAAAAAGGCCCAAAATTTTTAATATATTTGCATCTATTTTTAGCAGAATCTTGAATTTATTGATCTTAACTGTGTTTTAGTAAAGTGACTAGTCCAACCTTGCATAGGCACTTAAAAATTTATGAAATCTCTGCTTCTCTCTGCTCCTGTCTGCTCCTGTTTACCCATCTGTCCCTCTTTGCTCCTGTCTGCTCCTGTCTGCCCCTGTCCAATCCATCTTTATTTCTATAGCACATTTTACCAACACAGTGTCTCCAAAGTGCTGCACAGAGTAAGCACAATATAAATAAACACATTAAATAAAACAAAGCGTAAAGTGAATAAATGTCCGTGTGTGTCTGTGCAGGAGGTGAGCTACTCCGGGACTCTGGGCTACACCAACACACAGATGGAGGTGGAGGAGCCCTGCGCCGTCACAGCACAAGACGACACAGAGTAGGACTTTATTTTATCTCCTGTTTCATAAAGACTCTTCAGACTTTTGTGCAGTTTATTTGATGGATGCTAGGGTTTTCTGTTCTACGCAGGGGCTTCTAGATGATTTTGGAAGAAGTAGTTTGTGAAATTGAATAAAAGAACTGCGCAATTTAGTAAATGGAGGGATAGTATTTGATTGAAACTGCTAAACTAATAAAACATTTCATTCTCAGCTCTTATCCAAAATGAATCTGATGTATCTATTTTTGCAGTGAAAAAGTATGAGTTTATTTGCATTTTAGCTTTATTTTGAATGCATAACATATCGTAAACAAGCGCAATCAGAGATATCAACCTTGGTCCCCCATG